CTCACTCGCCTCCAGGTTGAAGTTCGTTCGCTACGCTCACTCACCTTTTGGTTGCAAATTAGCTGTTGTCATAAATGTAAAAGAAATAATAGTGCTGCACCCTGTTGGTAATCCTTGTAACTTTAATGCTATTGAACATCATAGAACAGAACCAACTTGTTTAATTGAAACAGCTGTTAAGATTCAATTCCGTTTGATAACAGAAAAGGCATATGGGGAATAGGCTATCAAACGGAATTTTGAAATGTTACAGCAAGTTTGGTTAGTTAGTTTAGCTTAGAACAGTTACATTTCAATTCAATATAATATCTTTTACCTACGACCGTTTTTTAAAGTAGCCGTTTCAGTATAGTTCTTAGAATTGAAAAGTATCTCATAACAGCATAGTTTTACTCATAACAACACGGGTAATGGACCAATGAGGTTCAAGGATTGAGAGAGGAGAAGCAAAATTGTTATGATTCGAAATTCAACTAATCAGCTGTTCAGGCCAATTTCATTGTTGATTGGTGCAATTAGTATTTAATACAATGTTTCGTTGCATCACTGTCAGTGGCAATTAGAGGTTATAAACAAAAACATAACCTCTCTTAGAAGTTATGAGTAGTGAATTTAGTAATTAAAACACCGTCGTAGGTAAAGTAGTGTACGCAACTCACGTAAATAGTGTTAACGACACTCGTAGAAGTTTTTAAGGCACTTGTGTCGTTAACACTATCTTTACACAATCGTTGCGTAAACTACTATTTATTGTTTGTTGATACTGAACAATAATATTTATTTATCGTAGTTGTCAGCTGATAAGTTTCAATATGTTAATATCAATATATCGAATAAAAAATAAAATAAAGAAATCATATATATAAATAAAATTACAGATTTGTCTGTACGTTGCTTAGAATCATGCAGTTTTTGGTTATTTTTACGTTTCATAGCCTAAGAAAGCCGAAACGAGTCTTATCTCAATTTCTGTCTGTATGTCTGTTTGTTTGTACATTATGTGGTTGCGTCTGTAACGCCAAAATGTCATTTTACGCGGCCTACTCCTAGAAAACTAGAATACCGATCAAGGTTCTAATCATTTGTCTGCATTTACTGGATTGGTGAGAGTGTCTTTGGCTATAAATACATGGCCTCGCTTCTTTGAAAACAAAATAACGAACCATCAAAAACCCAATCTTGTTCGATTTTCGTCAAATTTTCTCCTAACGTTTACTATTACATTTGATGAAATAACGATCAGCTGTTTGGATTAGTTCTCACTTCTAGCTGTCACTGATATGTTTACAGTAAAAGTTGTTTACAAATACCGCAACCATTTACTTAACCGGCTTAATTAATCGCAAGTGCAACGATTGTTCTTGAGTTTTGATAACCGGGGAAAATACCGTGAATCAGTGTTGTATTAGTGCAAGGAAACTTACATTTTTTTAATCATCGGCACCAATACCGTAGCTTACAAAGATTTCCACTCATTGACGGCGCTTCAAGGACAGTTGTGTAAAGTGCAAAGTAAAAAATCACAACTGCAGTGGGTGATCGTGGATGTTGCTGCGATCTTGGAAGATCTGTCTGATTTCGCTGTGATCGTACCGTAACGGTGGTTTAACTTAACAGATGTAGCTAAACTCGCTTTTCCAATGTGTCACTTTTGGTTTCTACTTACTCACATTTCGACAACGATATCGGTACTTTTCCTACTTAGGAAATAAAACTACAAACGTACAAAAACCCAGATTTGTGCGTTTTTTGTCACATTTCCTCCGAATGTTTGCTAGATATATGTACCTACCGATTATCATTTAGAGATTACGTAATCTTTTAAATGAGAAACCTTTGTTTGGATAAAGGTGGTTTCTTCAAACTGCCATTAATATGTTAACATTAAAAGCTGCTTACAAATAATGCTATTAATGGGAAATAACCTTGATTTACGAAAACTTAAAAAAAAAATTTAAAACCAAAGGAGATTAATAACTTCGGTACTGCACCACATCAAGTGAAAGTTTTTTTAGCAAACCATAGTAAGTTTTTAAAGCTTTACGTTGTTAATGTTACATGTTACATGTTTTGTGGCCTGTGTATTTATTTATTTATATATTTGCCAACAGATTAATTAACACCTATAATACAGTTTGATTAGAAGGACAGTTTGAATTAGTCGTAAGTACTACAGTTCTTTTCTCAAATGTAAACGTTGGTTTTTGGTACTGCTACTTTTCCTTAGAACCGGTGGTAGCAGTAAGAATAATTTTTACATACAAACACATCACTATTTTCATTTTCACTATTTATTTATAAACACTGCACCTTATTGCTTATTAAATTTAATTGATGTCTTAACTTACTGTATAATTTTTAGCGTTTTCTGTCTGGACTCAAAAATGTTGTGTGGACTCAATTTTGTATTTGTGTGTGTATGTCCGTTGGTAACGCAATAATATCCTTATTTTTCGTGGAAAAGACAAGAGCACCATTGTTAATAACAATTTCGACCCGAATAAAGTGTACAGTAGTGTTTGAGGTTAGTAAAGGTTGAGGTAGTGTTTTAACTACTTTTAACCAGTGTGAAAAGTAACTTTAAATTACAGGCCTACCTTAGGGGTATGCCTCATAGATCTATACTGTAAAGCTATTCCTTTCATCGTTTGATATAAAATATGGACTAACACGATCAAGTGACATTTAATTGCAAAGCATTCGTTTTGGCTTTGAAACTGTCAGATATTGTATTTGAGAAGGTTTATATGTATTCCTTAACAGTTATAGTTTTGCCATCATATCTGGAAAAATGCACACTAAATATGCAAACCAACTCCTGTTCTGAATATAATTAAAACCTACTAGATTTCTACCTTACTACTAGATTCCCGTACGTAGAACGGGCAAACAGCTAGTTGATAATAATGAATGTTCCCTTTAACAGGAAAGTACCTAATTAACAACTTTGTATAAAATAAATAAATTTACCAAGTTTGATCAAAATATATCCATAAACTAACAAACTCCCAACATTTTACAATATGGGAATTTTAAAATAAAAATTTTTTGAATTTTCTCCATAACCAATAATTGTACAAAAACTCTTTGATATACTAAATTATTTTTTTTTTCAAATCTTTAAAAATGTCTGGAGAAAATTGGGAAATTTTGTGTTTAGAGGGTCAAAAATTATAAAAGTTATTTTTTATTCCATAAAACCCCGTTCACATGATCCGATCATGCTGGTTTGCGAACCCATTCAAGTTTATCTCGCCTTACACCTTCAAACCAAATTTCATCAAAATCGGACAAAAATTACTCAAGTTATCGTGTTCTCGGACATATATCTAATATATAAAATTCTCGTGTCACAGTGTTTGTCTGCAAACTCCTCCGGAACGACTTCACCGATTGTTATGAAATTTGGTGTGTAAATTCTGTAGGTATGCGAATCGGACGTAAACTATTTCCCGTTTCGAAATTCTTAAAAGGGCTCCGCCCCAGTGGCTCTGGAGTTTCCCATGTTAACCTTATGAGAAATGGAATTAATGAATCTTAACAGCTGTTTCAATTAAACAAGTTGGTTCTGTTCTATGATGTTCAATAGCATTAAAGTTACAAGGATTACCAACAGGGTGCAGCACTATTTTTTTTTTAATTTATGACAACAGCTAATTTCCAACCAAAAGGTGAGTGAGCGTAGCGAACGAACTTCAACCTGGAGGCGAGTTAGCGTAGCGAACGAGCTAACCTGAAGGCAAGTGAGCGCAGCGAACGAGCTCCAACCTTAAGGTGAGTGAGCGTAGCGAACGAGCTCCAACCCAAAGGTGAGTGAGCGTAGCGAACGAACTTCAACCTGGAGGCGAGTTAGCGTAGCGAACGAGCTAACCTGAAGGCAAGTGAGCGCAGCGAACGAGCTCCAACCTAAAGGTGAGTGAGCGTAGCGAACGAGCTCCAACCCAAAGGTGAGTGAGCGTAGCGAACGAACTTCAACCAGGACGTGATTGAGCGATGCGAACGAGATCATCTTGAAAATTAAACGTAACGGTACTTTCTTTCCATCGGCCTGTCTTAGGGGAAACATATAACTTAGGCGATACGAAGTTCGCCGGGTCAGCTAGTATATATATAAATTTGGACAAATTGTGTTTTTGGCCTCTAGGGACATCATAATGAAAAAGCAAATCGGTCCCGGGCCTAGGTCTTACCATGCCACCTACGGTAATAGCTACAAACTATGTTAACCTATTCCATTTCTCTATAGGGAAATTCCCTAAAAAAATAGTAGTTTTTTTTTTTTAACACAAATATCATTTAGGCCTATGCCTAAGCAAAAATAATCACCCGATAGCCCTTTAAAGTTCATGGTAAATGGTGATCTCATTCAGAATAGATATGGAAATAAGCTTTTGTTTTAAGTTGGCTAAAATTTTTTGCTAGCAAAACTGAACGTACAATTCTAAAGGTTTAAATTAACTTATACCTCTCTTCTAGCTAAAACTGAGCTCTTATCTGGGTATCTGAGAGGTTATAGAGATTGCCTTCAAATCTAAATGTCACTGGTTCGATACCAAGCAAGAATACCATTTGTCATTGGGCTATGATTTAATTATGCTTTGTAGCATCAGGTCAACATTAGATACAGACGTTAGATCACAAGACTAGGGTTGGTTGGACTGTTCCCTTACTAAAAACGTTAATAAATGCCACTGGCGTAGGTAGATATACACAATTATTTTTTTTAAATGTGTTTAGTAATGCTGCTTTACACTATACCATTATAAAATGTAACAAGATGGATGATAAACATTATTTCAGTTGTTCCTTTATTGATTATATTTGTATTTCCAAGATATGTACAAATGAGTTGTGCTGCACATATATAGATATAAACTGTGTTTCATTCATTCAAATTAGAACTAGAAAAGTTTTTCTCTCTCTACCAGACCCCTAGAGGTTGAAAAGAAATCGTTAAGATACTACTAAAATTGAAATCTACAGTTTTTTTTTTAACTTACTTGAACAAATGATGCTAATTCAAAAACCATAACTTCACCCTTTAATTCTACTGATTTTTCTTTCAAGGTCTTCAGTAAAACTTCCAATTGTTTGTCTGAAAGTCCTTTACTCTTATCAACTGTCATCTTGGGGATTCTGAAAGGAAAAATATTTAAATTTTACAAAGTGACTTTTTCTGCTATTCTTTTCAAATCTTTTAATGACACTAATTATCTGAAAGAAGACCTATTCAAGTCCTTCTTAAATGTCACACAGGCACTGCACTAACACACAACACTAGATACAGACATATATCTAACTAACATAACATCAACTAAATCTATTTAAAAAACTCAAAAAATTAAACTAGTTAATTTTTAAAGTTGTAACTTACTTTGAAGGTTTTATTAAGATAGCTTGCTCAAACATGCAAGTAAGTATTGACCATTTATTTGAAATTAACTTAAGCCCAATTTATAAAATTACCTAACTTAACCCTTCCCGGACGGGTGACGGATATATCTGCCTTCTCTTCAGACAGACTGGCAAGTGCTTGAGCAGTAACCAGATGTTTTGCGGTACCAACAAAGCACTTTCCTGCTCTCTCCATGGCTGCGCTCTCTCCCGTACTCCCCCCTCTCTCCAACGCCTACCCCTCTCCCGCATCACCCACTCTCCCGCGCACCCACCACCACTCCTACGCTCCCCCTCGACGTTTGGCGCTCAACACTATGTTGTCTTTATTTATTGTTAACATATTGTTCTTTATTTATTACCCAACGTTGTCATGGTCATATCTTCAAAGACGGGTGGCAGATATATCCGCTGCTTTTCTACTTATCCGCGGACGGGTAGCAAATATATCCGCATAATTAAAAACCAGTAAAAAATTATTTTGACAATATGAAGTGTTCCATTGTGTTTATTTGATGTATACTTGTATAACAAAACACAAATAAGAAAAATTAAATTTTATTTTCTCCTATAATTTTTCCCTGTTCTATGTCACGATTTTGCCAGTCCGGGAAGGGTTAAGTTACTCAAGTATGTAGACAATGTTCTAAAACTACCAAATGACACTCAAATATTTTGAACATAAACTGAAAAATTATTATAATAGGCTATGGAATAGTTTTTACAATCTCAAGATATAACTCAAAACCTAACCCCCCCCCCCCCCCAATTTCTCAGAATGGCCAAATGGCTGTTGAAAGGATAGGTGACTGCAATGCATTCTTTTTTACATTCTCCAGTATTCTCCTTGGAATGTGTTAGTGGGAACAGGATATAAGTACTCACTCATTGGGGTAGTTTTCTGAGCAGATGACATGAAGATGAACAAAGGTGTGAGCTTCTTGCGGCATACTCCCTTGCTGAGGTCCCAGGGCCAAAACAAAGTCCAGTGGCCGCCACTGGTCATCTGGCCTTGGTGTCTCCCGCAACTGTTCTCCGTATATGGCCTGTCACTCTCATTATGTTACAATTATGGAATTAACAACAAACTAATATCCAAGTAATTCTAGTGATCCAAAAAACAGGATTACACGTTTTGATGACAAAGCGTCACTGTCGTATCCAACCAAAAATTTCTTCCAAACCATATAGCCGTGTCACAGTCTTTCCAATACAACACACATTCAAAACACATTACAAAAATACATTTAATGAAGGCCTACTAAATAATTTGCTGTGGTTTGGTTAGAAAGCGGAACTTTGGTCTCTGGGGTACCATGTTCAAATTCCGCCAAATCAAAAATGGATTTTATCTAAGTGACTAGCTGTGTGCCCGTTCTACGCACGAGGATCTTATAGTAGTCAGTTAAATGTGACAAAAATCACAAAATGTGTTGGGTTTTTGGACATTTGTAACTTTATTTATTAAGTAGGTAGGCCATGTATTCCATGGAAAAGTACCGGTATCAAGGATCGTCATCGAAAAGGTTGTTATGAATAGAATAAATAGGTAGGCGTACGTACCCAAGAGATGGGCTATGGGCCTATTGGCTGTATGGTCCAGCGATTGCATTACACGGTGAGTAGAAACAGAAAGTGACACATTGGAAAAGCGAGTTTAGCATCATCCGTATACCTCTATTACTTAAAATCACCCACTGCAGTTGTCATTTTTTTACTTTACACTTTACACAATCGCCATTGAAGCGCCGTCAGTGAGTGGAAACCTTGTTTGTAGGCTATTGGCGACGATCATTATAAGTGTCCCAGTCCTATACAACACTGATTCAAGGTCTTCTTTGTGGTTATCAAAACTCAAGAACAATTTCATACACAAATAATCTCTGGTTCCTGACCTGGATGATGCCTAGTTATTTAATTTAATTTGCGGTTACACTATAATATTGCACTTGTGAAATCATATCTCCCTCACTTTGTTTGGGATTTGCTTTCAAAACGTGATCGGAAATGATTGCGGTATTTGTAAACAACATTTGTAAACATATCAGTGACAGCTAGAAAAAAATAATCTTGATCCGAACAGCTGTTCGTTATTTCATAGATGATTATGTGATAAAAAATGGCCGAAAACTTGGCAAAAATCGCACAAAACTGCATTTTTGAACGTCCGTAATTTTATTTACAAAGTAGTGAGGCGATGTTTTAATGGCTAAAGACGATCTCGCCAATCCAGTGAATACATTAAAATGACTTAGATCTTGATGGGTACTCTCGTTTTCATGGAGAAGATTGCGTAAAATGCCATCTTGAGTGTTACAGAAAGACAGTAAGACAGACAGACAGACAGGAATAGAGATAAGACTTGTTTCTGCTTCTTTAATGTATAAAACGTAAAAATAACCTAAAAATTTTTAATTCTGAGCAATGTACAGACAAAACTCTAATTTTATTTATATAGAATAATGCTGCAACCCCTAGGTCTAGCCTGAAGTAATGTGAAAAACAATCCCGGGCTCGTGCCTAGCGTCCTAGGACAAAAAAGGAAAACTAGCTAATTGTTTGCATGCCGAAACTCGACTGATAGACTGTGACGCGACCTAGAAAAAGTTTTTTTAGGATTTGACAAAGACGATTTCTAATGAAAACGTGTAGGCCTAATCCTGTTTTTTGGATGAGAAGAATAAACACCATAGAAATGTCAAACGCTTAACACGTTCGCTGCTACGGACGTTCCGGAACGTCAGCCGGGCCACGGCGCCAGGAGCTAAGAACGTTCCAGAACGTCACCGTTCATTGTTGTTTAACGTTGCTATGGTTAAGCCAGCACGACACAAGCGTCCTATATTTCTTTGCAGCTCGTGGGGACGTACTTTTCTGACAATAAAAAATATAGTTTCCCAAATTACCACCAGGTTTGTTTGGATCAGGGCTTTGTTTCACCTCTTTCCTGCTAGATAGCGACACTACTTTACCGAATGTAACCTGGGTAGTACTGCTATCTATCAGAATCACTTAGTACTATATCCAAAGCCAGTTTTATTGCAGAACATTGCCATCCAGTATAACTACTGATGTTTTTACTGTAATTCAGTGTATCGGTAGCAATGTCACGCATCGGCCGAGCGTTAGTTCAGCACCTGGCGCCGTCCCGGCATCTAGCGCTCAGCAGCGAACGTGTTAAATCAAACAGACCAGTAGTTAAATTTTTATTTTATTATTGATGGAATAGCCTATTGTGTTTATAAATGGGAACTTAGGTCTTTCCATTTTAGTGAATTTCCCTATAGGGAAGTAGGGTAGCTATTACTGTAGGTGGCACGGTTAGACCTAGGTCCGGGACCTATTTAGGCCTACATTTTCATTTTGATGTTCCCAGAGCCCAAAAACACCATTCGTTCAAATTTTTATATATGTATACGTCCGTGAACGCGATAACTTGAGTAAATTTTTTCCGGTTTTGATGAAATTTGGTTTTTTAAAGGTGTAAGGCGGGATAAACTTGAATGAGTTTGCGAACTAGCATGATGGGACCATGGGAACGGGGTTTTACGGGGTAAAAAATGGTTTTTCTAATTTTTGACCCTCAAAACACAAAATTTCCCAATTTATCTCTACACCTTTTTAAAGAGCTTAAAAAAACAAATAAATAAGTTTTTTTTACGGTTATTGGTAATGGAGATAATTCAAAAAATTGTAAATTTAAAATTCCCATATTATTTCTACGGAGAATATTGTAAAATGTTGTAGTTTGCTTGTTTATGAATATATTTTGATCAAACTTGGCAAGTTGAAATATCTAATTCTAAGCTATTCATATTTTACTAACAAAACACACTTTTTTTGCTAGAGTAATGAATCCGTAAATTTATGAAGAATTCAATATAACTGTAGACAGGCTGTTTAGTCAAAATGATTACCTAGTCAAGTATAAAAAATACTAGGTCTATTGATATTCCCTGAATACCTACTTATGTTAAACAAATATTTAACATAGGCAAGAATTTTCAGTTTTCACCCTTGCTGATACAATAATGCATTGCTATAAGCAGCTCAATGTTAACTGACAAAATAGATTCTATTACCTATACAAACATTCTGCATTCTACAAGCTGTATTTTCTAATACCGGTACTTTGAAAATTTACCTTAAGTGCTTCCAATTCATTATCCTGCCTTTCTTGCAATGTTTCTTCAGCCATCAAATTAAAGTATCATGATTTATAGCTTTTCTAATAACTGTCATCAACATGAACTGGAACAAATTATGGTTAAGTGAATTGTGTTCCTAAAACTTAAGATTACAGTACTACGAATTTCACCTGGTTATTTTGTTTGCTCTGGCAATGAACTACTTTTAGCGAATTTCCCATATAGGGAATAAGCAATTACTGTTGAACTCATGGTAAGACCTGGACCCGGGACCGATTTACTTTTTCGTTTTGAGGTCTCTAGAGGCCAAAAACACCATCGGTTCAATTTCATATATATACTATATATTTTTACCCTCCCTTTTGTTTACAACCTTAAGTACTCGTTAAACTAATTATATTTAAATAGAGAATAAATGTGGTATTTGTAAGGAGACATTTTAGTGTTAATCTAATCAGGCAAATGGAAATTCGCTTAGTCTGCAGGTTTGCTGTGGCAGGGGTATTTTATTATTAGGCTAATGAAATGAAATGTTTATTCATTACATAAAATTTACATAATTGTGATACATCACCAGTAAACATATGACAAGACAATTTTTTACAATAATAGTATATTTCGTACCTAGGGCCGAAAACGAGGTTTTGCTGGCTCGAGATAGTTTTAGCGAATTTCCCTATAGGGAAGTAGCTATTACCGTAGGTCTCATGGTAAGACCTAAGCCCGGGACCGATTTACTTTTTCATTTTGATGTCCCCAGAGGCCAAAAACACCATTCGTTCAAATTTATATATATATATATATATATATATATGAAAAATAGAAAAATAGGGCTACTATATATAAATAAAGATTAAACATTAATAAACTTAGTACCCAAGTTAAATTATTTATTAAAATATTAACTGACTATAGTTTTGGCTCTAAGGCCATTTTCAAAGTAAACAAAAATCAAAATAAGATATGTAAATAAATAAATAACATATGACATTATAAAACTTTTCTAACTTGTAACATAATTTTGTATTCATTGATTCATTTATATACTATATGATGTGTTGTACTTATTTTCATTAATATTTTCTCAATTTTGCTATGGTTTCATATATTGGATTATTCAATTTTGGAATCATTGTATTTAAAATATTTGATTTGTTATTTTTGTAGTTCATATAAATATTAATTTCTTCTTTTACATTCAATTTTTCTCTGTCTTTTTCAATTTCTAATATTGTTAAGTTTTCTTCGATATTAGTAAACTTATGTTTGGATTTTAGTAAATGATCTGCAAAATTTGATTTCATTGATGTTTTGTTCTTCGATTTATATGCCTGTATATGTTCGTTGAATCTAATTTTAAAATTTCGATAGGTTTGTCCAATGTAGTAGTTGTCACAGTCAGAACATTTAATTTTGTAGATACCAGCATTGACTATATATATAGTCAATGATACCAGATGCATTGTATATGTTTGCTGTATTGTTTGTTATAGGATTGTTGGTTTTATTGTGTACTAGCTGTAACCCGCGGGCTTTGCCCCGTTTAACTTCTTAATTTTCAAGATTATCTCGTTCGCATGGCTCAATCACGTCCTGGTTGGAGCTCGTTCGCTGCGCTTACATGCCTTCAGGTTAGCTCGTTCGCTACGCTAACTCCAACTCGCCTCCCGGTTGAAGTTCGTTCGCTACGCTCACTCACCTTTTGGTTGCAAATTAGCTGTTGCCATAAATGTAAAATACATAATAGTGCTGCACCCTGTTGGTAATCCTTGTAGCTTTAATGCTATTGAACATCATAGAACAGAACCAACTTGTTTAATTGTGAAACAGCTGTTAAGATTCAATAATTCCATTTCTCATAAGGATAACATGGGAAACTCCAGAGCCACTGGGGCGGAGCCCGAAAGGATTTTTGAAATAAGAATATGCCTATATGTTAATCGGGAATGTGAGCTATCATCATGCCAAATTTCAGCCCAATCCGACCAGTATTTTTCGCGTTCACTTGTCACAAACATACATCCATACATCCATACATCCATACATCCATACATCCAAACTTTCTCATTTATAATATTAGTAGGATGATTTTAAAAATGTTATTTTTTGTTCTGTAGCTTAATTTTACTGGGGTATGTTTAAATGTTTTCCTGATTGCTTTGTTAAAATTGTTGTTGTATGGGACGCACATGAATTTCTTTTCTTCTTTGTGTTTCGAATTGTTTTCTAAGTTTGATTTTAATTCATTTCTTTTCTTAATTTTCTTCTTGATCATATTATTAATCATTTTGCTTCTATATCCATTTTTTTCAGCTAGATATTTTATAGTGTCGACTTCTTTCTTGTAATTTTCTTTATTTAAAGGAACGTTGACTGAATGAAAAGTTGCAATTTTGTGTGTCCATGGATGATTCGAATTTTTTGGAATTACTATGTCTGTAGTTGTGGGTTTTCTGAATATGTTAAAAGAATGTTTGTTGTTTTGGATGGAAATTGTTAGATATATCCTGTATCATAAATATATATATGTGTCCATCCGCGATAACTTGAGTAATTTTTGTCCAATTTTGATAAAATTTGGTTTGAAGGTGTAAGGCGGGATAAACTTGAATGAGTTCGCGAACCAGCATGATCGGACTATGGGAACGGGGGTTTATGGGGGGTTTTATGGGGTAAAAATAGGTTTTTCTCATTTTTGACCCTAAAAACACAAAATTTCACAATTTCTTTTTATACCATTTTGTAGAGCTTATAAAAACAAATAATTTAGTATATTGAAGCGTTATTATGCGCCTAATTGTCGCGGAGAAAATTCAAAAAAATTGTAATTTTAAAGTTCCCATGTTATTCTTATGGAGAATAAGTCAACTGTTGTAGTTTGCTTGTTTATGAACATATTTTGATCAAATTTGGAAAATACATTAATTTCTTACTAAACCACAGTACCTTTTAATATTTTACATTTAAAAAAAACTTTTTTACCCTCCCTGTTGCAGCAAACCTAAGTACTTATTAAACTAATTCTGTTTAAATAGGGAATAAATGTGATATTTTTAAGGAGACATTTTAGTTTAAATCCAATCAGGCAGATGGAAATTCGCTAAGTCTGCAGGTTTGCTGCGGTGGGGGTATTTAAGTTGGAGACAAAGTCGAGAACTTAAATCGATCGAGAGCTGCAAAACCATTTTCGGTCCGTGGTACGAACACTATTTTTCACCACACTACTACTATTCACAATAATAATAATGTAAACTGATAGTCAACGCAACTTTAAGGTTATGTGATGAAGTAAATTTCAAGAATCAGCAAAAATAATAATAAACAGTTGCTAGGCAACGGTGAAAATAAAACAATTCTATTTCAATGCTATGGATACTGTTTGTGTAATTAATATGCAAGCGGACAGCTTATTTTGCGGCCCCGGGCTGTAAAAACCTGCTCGGTCCCCAAATTACGATGACAGCTGGCATGGCCAGCAAAACGTAACTTTCAGCCACCAATTAACGTATGTAATACAGCCAAAAACATCATAGTTTGGTGTAAAATACATTATACTATGCATTTTATTTTATTGTTGTATTTTAATAATTTATTCAATAACTCGTTGCTTTAGCTAGATTTACAATATAACTTACATGCATTAGCCACGTCAACTTCACTAAGACTAACTATTAACTAACATATTAAATATAAATCAAATTCATGAGTTCTGTCAGTCAGCGAGAAATGTGCGGAGACTGTAGGTGTCCTTACCCAGGAGAAATGACTATGAAGCACCGTTTGAAGCATCCCAGGTCTGGCATGGACTTGATTTGAAGATAGAGAGCATTGAACAGTTTAATGGCATTTTAAGTTAGATGCCTTTCAAAAAGGGTAGTTGAATGAGCTGGAATTCTCAGATTGAAATTATTACAAATCAGATATGAGTGGGTTGTTGTTGTGTGAAAATGAGAATACATTGACTTTAGAAACGTGAGGAATTCCAGAATGTATTTACAGGGAAATGTTAGAACTGCGGATGATTTAAATACAGCTCTACAAGTATGTTTGTAGTGAAGGCAGTGAATTATTCTGATAGCTCTCTTTGAAGGCGGAAAAGGAAGTGGGTTCTTGTGCTTTCACCACCCCATAGTGCAACAGCATACTTGAAAATGTTGCTAGTGACACAGAAGGAAATTTCTGAACTGATCTTTCTACAAACAGAATCAATGTGGGGTTTGAAACATAGGTTCTTGTCCATCAACAAACACAGGAATTCTATTTGAGCAGTGGTTTCGGTTTCACTGTCTTCCAAAATAAAATTTTGTTTGTTTTCGGTTTTTCTAATTGAAAATCCAACAAGCTGGGTTTTTGTTGGATTGGTTTTGAGGAGATTTTCATTAAAACACTGCAACAAGCAACTGGCTTTTATAAACGCATTATTTATGTCTAGTTCAAGTGGGCTTGGGCTGGAGATAGCAAGAGAGAGGTGTTCTCAGCAAAAAGACATATTTCACCCTTTGAACAATTGATGGGAGGTTGTTGATGAAAAGGAGGTAGGCCTATATAAAGTAGAAAAGAATCATAACTGTTACGTAAATAAAGTAAATTACAGTATACTACTTTAATAAGTTACTTTACTTTGAAATGGCGACCATACGAATGTAGGTATTTTAAGCAAAGTATTATTGGAGATGAGTGTAGGATGAGTGTCCCCTACATATTATAACAGATTAAAGATTATGAAAGAAGATTTGGATAAACGACTTTGAGCAAAGACTGCTCTCATACTATATAACTATTTGACTACATAAAGAAATTATTTTACTAAAGAAGCAATGCTTGGACCCCAGGTACTATGATAGGCTACAAACTATAAAAAAAGTTAAATCCAAACTTTTAAAGAACTCTCGCAAAGAAAAAGACCAGCTGAATATAGTTATTTTCACCACACTATGATGTTTTTGGCTGTATTACATACGTCAGTTGGTGGCTGAAAGTTACGTTTTGCTGGCCATGCCAGCTGTCATCGTAATTTGGGGACCGAGCAGGTTTTTACAGGCCGGGGCCGCAAAATCAGCTGTCCGCTTACTTACTTAAAACATGAATGCATTTTAAATACACAATCAAAATCCATAGCATTGCAATAGAATTGTGTTATTGTCACCGTTGCCTAGCAACTATTTATTTTTATTTTTGCTGATTCCTCAAATTATTTCTTCACATAACCTTAAAGTTGTAGTTGTGTTGACTATCAGTGTGCATTATTATAGTGGTGAATAGTGGTAATAGGGTATAGTGTGGTGAAAAATAGCGTTCGTACCACGGACCGAAATGGTTTGGCAGCTCTCGATCGATTTAAGTTCTCGACTTCGTCTCGAACTTAAAAACTATCTCGAGCCGGCAAAACCTCATTTTCGGCCCTAGGTACGAAATATACTATTGTGTAACTAGTTTGAAAAGTGACACTTATCTGCACATGAGAGAAATGTTTACGCATGAGCCGCAGGCGAGTGTGGAAAGTTTCTCAAGTGCAGCAAAGGCACTTTACACTCGCGTTACACATCTAGGCCTATATTTTTTCTAAAGTTACTATAAAGCATTTAAATAATAGTCCTTTAAACCCTAGGGTAGACTGGGGTAATAAGCACACGGGGTAATAAGCGCCAATTAATTTTAGATTTTTTTCCTACTGCTAGTGTTAAGGTTATAATTCAGCTGTAGAGGGAGTGGTTTCCCTCCATTTAGCAGGATGTTTCCCACCAGTTTGATCAGTTGGAAGTTCATTCTTCACCAGACAAGAGGTTAAGCCAGTTCTACACTGCGAAGGAGTCAAAGGGTTGGACAAAATAACAATTTTGGAAGGTAAGCCAGGAATTAAGTTATTGTTTTTTGCCATCAATCTATATTCATATTAAACTTAAGTTGGAAATCTACTTATTTATACCATAAGATGTAAGTGTACTTATATTTATTTAGGTTTTAACTGTGCTTTATAAAAGCATGCTTCAAGGGTACCTAATTAGCACCATGGCAAAATGGGGTAATAAGCAACCAAGATATTGAATCTGATTCCATTGACATTAGGCAATTATTGTGTAGTTTAATTAAGTTAGGTTATATTTATATTTATTTCATTGCCAGAGCTTACTATTTTTCTTTCAGGGATCATGTCCAGGAAATATAAGAAGAAGGCTGTTGGGGAAGGAGGTCGGAAGAGCTACAAAAACAGCGAAGAAATGATACAAGCCAATGAGGCTGTAAAACAAAACAACCTCAATTAGACAAGCAGCTCAAGCTTATGGTGTTAGCTACCATTCTTTATTAAGAAGAGTCAATTACTTATGCCCTGTGACCTCTGGTGTTGGAAGAACAACATTTCTTAGTGAAAAGGAAGAAAACAAGCTCGAAGAAGGGATTTTGTATGTGCTGAATGGGGATGGGCTCTGAAAAGACAAGACATCATAAAGTATGGTAGAAGATTATTTAGAAAAGAAAGGTCGGGGACATGGAAAACTTGGTTATGACTAGTTGTCTGGTTTTTTGTCCAGACATGAAAAAATTGTAGTGGGTAAGTCTGAAAACTTATCTGTAGCTAGAATTACAAGCCTAGCTAGAACAGAGGAAGTAGGTGAAAAGTGGATGGGACTGCCTGGAAGACACATTCAGGAAGTACAATATTACTCAACCAGAACAAGTTCACAATTGTGAAAAGACTGGGATGGCTACTGACCCTTCTGCCGGATATGTACTTGCCAAAAAAGGCTCTAGAATATATAGTGGGATTGGAGGATCCGGTCGAGGGCAGATTTCCATTTTGGGATGCTGTTCTGCAGCAGGTAAGATCTGGCCACTATTTCTACTGTGCAAGGCCAAAAAAAATGAATGTCCTTTGGACCGAAGGAGGTCATCCTGGAGCCACGTATTCCTGCATTGACAGTGGATGGATGGAAGCAAAACCTTTTGCTTCTTGGTTTCTAAAAGTCTTTGCACCAAAAGTACAAAATGTTCCAGGGTTCAAAGTTTTGATTTTTGATGGGCATAGCCCTCATATCTCAATTGAGCTTCTTGAAAGCGCCATTAAAAACAACATTGTTTTGCTGAGACTTCCTGCTCATTCGTCTGATGTAGGTACTACAGCCTTTAGATGTTTGTGTGTACGGACCATTAAAGAAAGCATGGAAGAAGATCCTAGACGAGTGGCAGCGGAAGCATCGATTTGAAAAAGTCAGCAAACTCACATTCCCTCGTCTTCTAAACCAGTGTTGGATCCAGGGCTTTAAAGCTCCAAACGTCATTAGCGGATTCAAAGCAGCAGGTATATGGCCTCTGAACAGAAATGTCCTTGAAAAGCCTGCATTCAAGAGACACAAACCGTTTTCTTCTGCAGGAACTGCAAGTGTTTTAAATGACATCACAAATGATGAAAGATCACCTACAACACCAAACTCTCTAATTCCATCCGATAGTAGACCAACCACTGCTCCTGTGACAGGCCTATTGATGTTGTTCCTAGTACAAGTGGAGAAAACTGTTCTTCAAGCCCTGTTCCAATATCAGTCAGTTCAACACCAAGTATGAAAGAGGTTTTCCTTGATTTTTTTAAATCAACACCTCCACCTGCAAAAAAGAAAAGAAAAAGTGCACAAGTACGTAGTTGTTCCAATATTGCGTGAAAAAGAGAAGAAAAAGGAACAAGAAAAGAAATGCAAGGGCAAAAAGAACAAAAGATCCAAATGTGACGAACAAGATGATCCTGATGACCCGGCGCCCCTACCAGAACTGTGTGTAGTATGTGTTACCGATGACGAGGGTGTGTGGGTTGCTTGTAAAAGCTGTGAAAAGTGGTTCCACGTGGAATGTGCAGGGTTGGGCAGTATTAATGAAAACCAAGCCTCTGCTGCTGACTTTACTTGTTTTAACTGCTAAATGTATCACCGTGGTCTATAACTTGCAGTTTTATATTTTATAAAACAAACTTCTTAACGTGTTCACTTTTTACTCCTCCGCAATTTAGAATTAAAAAAAAAAAATATTTTGTATCTAGAACATAGTAGGCCTATCAGCCAAGCATTAACATTGTACTAAGACTCTTTTATCCATTAAACATATGTATTTTCCATTGTTTCATTCGATACCTATATCGTTTGGTTAGTTAGGTTAGGTTAACCTTACCTAACTAACCAAACGATATATCGAATGAAACAATCTATTAATCAATATATCGATCGGTATTTTCATTCGAATGAGTGTAGGACCTAAAGTAAAGTGCAGCCCACTATACAACAAGTTTGAGGTTTGGTTAAATCCAAGCGTTGAACAAAATGGGAAACTTTGCACCATCTGATCATAGTCGTAAGTTAATATCATTACTTGTTGCCGTTGTCAACATGGTTGGAATTTTTGAGTGCGGCAAAAATTTAGTGCTGCAAAAGTAAGTGAATGCAGCAATTAGCTACTTTGCGAGATATAAGGTAGACTTTCATATCTGTTGTCAAAAACAACCGAATAATAATATTGATCGATAACTTATTTTATTTGATTACTTTATTCAATATGTCGTTTGGTTGGTTAGGTTAACCTGACCTAACCAACCAAACATTTATCAAATGAAATAATCGATAGGTCAAAAAATCTATTTATCATTTTCATTCTTGTTTTTTGACAACAGATGAAAGTCTACCTGTGATATTATCAGTACAAGAAAGACCGCTATGTCAGGTAACTGTAGCAAAATAATGTTTGAATACCACCACTAAAAATTAACGGTAAATATTTACAGTATCATTAAATAATTTAATTTTAACATAATAAATAACTGCTAAACAATACCTGGTCCTACCACTGAGCTATGATGGGCTAACCTCACTTAAACAAAAGTAGTATTAGGCCCTACTGTACCTATTACCATAGTTATTACCCAGAAATAATGGCATTAGCCTTTAATAGGCTAATTAGGGATAGGCCATTATAGGGAAAAGGCTATGATAGGGATTTTATAACAATTCTATCATTAACAAGAAAAGACAACAAGTCGACAAAACATTAACAACAACAAACTGAACTGACAGCTGCTAGCTGCAGCCTTAACTTAGTTAAAAAGGGTCACAAATGTGACGGCCTTGATTAAAATTCATGAGGCCCCAATGTTCACTTTTTGTGGTTAACCGTCTTTTTCTTAGTTTATTTGATAATAATCAGGAGAATGGTGTTGACACTTTAATTTTGTTATTTACATACATAAATGTTGACAATGAGCTATGATTTGTTCTGATTAGGGGAGGTACGATTGAGGCATTAGTTCAAAATTCCTCCGTGAACAGCGCTGTAGTAGAGAGCATTTTGACGGGTGGGTTCCATAATATCGACAACCGTAGAAATTGATCGAAACTGAATTATTCCCAGTTTGTCGACACTGGAATATTCCCACTTAACCGACATCCCAAATAACCGACGTCGCAAATGATCGACACCACAAATTGTCGACATCCCATATTGTCGACAATGAAATAGTTTCACTTTGTCGACACTGAAATAGTCCCAGTATATCGACAAGCTCCCGTTCTTCGGAGCTACTCTTGAAAAGGAGTTGTTCTAATTCATCGTTCAGTTCCTCAACTCACGAGTCGCAATATTTGATTATTTTGATTCCGAATTCCGACGGACATCTACAAGCTGGCCATTTATGGACTAAAACTTTAATATTGTAAATATTTATCTTTTTTATTTCTTTCCTTGTTTACAAGAAAATAGATGACTCGAGTGTTACAAACAATATTTTTTAAGGAATAATGTGAAATAATTTTTATAGGATAAAAAACTTAAAAACATTACCAGACACTAACTTAGGTAAGTCACCAACAAGAAGGTAAGAGGTAAGGTAAGATACCAACAAGAACCTAAGATACAGCTTGTTCGTAGGCTAATTCTGGATCATAGAGCAATATTATTGCAAATTTTTGAATAGGCAAATCCCTAGGCTATTAGGATTGTCTCTTATCCCCACTGACCCAGTGTCAACTTTGAGAGAGAGAGAATAACTTTTAATCAAAATCGTTAAGATTTGACAGGCGTCAGAGTAATGTTATTGTTATAATAGGTGAGATTGTGTAGTGAGTGTACTTCAGATAATAGGTTCTCTCCAGTTCATGAATTCTTTAACAGAATAGAAGGGACGTTGGGAAAGCCACTGCTTCAGGTGAGATTTTACTTGGTTGGGACACACAGACTTCAGTTCTTCTGGTAGAATATTGTAGAATCTGGCTCCGGCGTAGGAAGGTTTCATCTCGAAAAACTTTTATTGAGAATTTGTTTAAGTAAAAATATTTGGCTGCACTTAAGTTTAGGCTATGTCTCACATTTATTCAAATGAAAGATATTAAATACATAGACTTTATTTAGTATTTTGAATATTGCATTCCTTTAGTTAGGTTAGGTTTTACCCTAACTAACCAAACTTGATAGGCTTAGGCCTAAGTTTATCGAATGAAATTATCAATATGACTGGGACGTGTGGCGTCGTCCTGTAATCCAACTACTAAGTTAGTAGGTCACAAATTGTGGATATTTATAGGCATGCACTGTGAATTTGATACTCCCTGGTGTGGATTAACGTCCGCACGAGTGAGTACTTACTACGACTCTCCGCAGTAGGGGAGAGTGTTGTACCTTTGACCATCAGCCATATAGTGAAATCTAGAGGCTGTATAGGGAAGCTATGAAACTAGTTCATAGATCAGCCACCAGAGGACTACTTCACCTTGCATTGGAGATTGAAAACTGTGTTAGTTGGAAGATATTTTAGTTTATTCATTTTTGCTACTGAAAAGTAAAAATTTGTTGACTTATTGTTTGTTTTATAAAATGTATATTTTTCTACAAATAAAAGTGAAAGTGAGGGGTTAATATTTGATGTTTATCCTCTAACTTCTCTTGGATGGTTGAAACTGACATTATCACATATCTTTTGAGAATAGGCCTATATTTTTATATAAAATGGCGGGAAGCGCTAATGTTGTACCTTTGACCACTTAATAGTGGTGTTCCTTTGACCAGGTCAAAGGTATAACATCATCTGTATTCAGTGTAGTTATTACTGGTTTTTATTGAAATATGTTAATGTATTAATATTAAGCCATTGTTTTGTGGAACCTACAGGAGGTTGTCACCAAGCTCCCCAACACTCCCAAATCAAGTGGATAAGCACATCAAAGAGAATTTTTAAATTTTGCAGTGGACTTTTTATCCTAAAAAGTAGAAAAAAGCCATTTTTTAATCTTGACGAAATGAATAATAAGTTCAACTTTGTGTATCTGGTTTTATATTTTAAAAACTATCATGTAAGATATATACTGTATTTGTTTTTTTTTTTTTACCTGTTTTGGGCTGAAATCGATATGCTGGTCAAAGGTACAACACCCACTGGTCAAAGGTACAACTGCATGTTGAAACTTTGACCACCATGTAACAAATTTTCTTTATCACTAAAAATATTTTAAAACTTATGACAAGGAACTCGAAAAAATATTTAATCCATGGATAAAACAGTTAAGTATCATCGTTGATTGTTTTTAAAATTATTGGAGCTTTCCTGTTCCTACAAAAAATTTTTAAGTGAAAACTGGTCAAAGGTACAACACTCTCCCCTACTATCCTGATAATTAGACCAATTCGTATAAGTTAGGCCTATACCAAGGCAATAATGTGGTTCGGATTCCACTATAAACTGTAGGTCCCTTAGTTGCCATTAGCTGTATGGGCTATTAATTAACAGCTGTGTCTAAGGAATGTCGGTCTTTTAGTTACTAACAAGACTACAAGATCGCGCCACTCATCCTACACTTATCTCCATTCATACTTGGCTTAAAATACCTACTTTGTATGGTCGCCAAGTAATAAGAAAGAAAGTATTAAAGAAATATATTCATTGGAATGAGTGTAGGACGTAAACTTAAGTGCTGTAAAATATTCTAGAGAGGTTTGTATTTGGTGTAAGACTAGTCTTGGATTATATCATTCATTGCTGATGACTTCAATGTTAATTTTATAGATGATCCTGGAGCAAAGGCTGTAATTTGACCTGAGCCCAAATTGGTCTCTAGTTTAAATACCCTATTGTCTTGAACCAATAAGTTAAGAGGACTAACCTTTCTGGACGACATTGCTATCGACATCACTGCAGATGAGAGATATAGAGAGACCAGAGTTGTGTACCCTGGAGGCTATTACCATACTGCCGTGATAACTAAGTTATTCAAAGTTCAAATCGGTACTTTGGTAAGTATTATCCGGAGGCTACAGATATACAGCGCTTTGCGGCGGTTATGTGAGGTTGGGTTATCATAAATGGAAAGAACATTTTTATGTCCTAGGCCTAATGTCCATATTTGCGTGGGTTTATTCTTAACTGTACAATATCTTTTGTTTGAATTGTTTGCGTTAATAAATTTATTTTATGGACAGAATTCAACCTTCATTCGATTTATTTCATTATCAGCAAGTTTGGTTGGTTAGGTTAGGTTATGACAGTAACTGCCGGATGCCTAATCCACGTCCGGTTACCGGACCCGTATCCTCTGCGTAGTATTTTACGTACCGTACTGAATCCAAATAGACTATTATTTTTCACTGCAGATGAATATTACTGAAACGGAATAAATCGCCGCTCAAAATGTTTGAATAGTCAAGGTAGGGTGGATGACATTGACAAGTAGAATGAACTGTTGGTGACATTGGCGTCGTCAGCATCAAAAGATTGAGGGGGACAAATGTAGGAAGGGGGTGCCCACCGGGGGGCTTGAGGGGTGCTCCACATCCCCCAACAAGGCCGGGGGGTCCAAAAATTGGTAATTTTCAAAGCAGTTTGGTGGCTTTTTAAAGCAATTTTTTACACCAAAAACCGTGCCCAATTGTCCATAAACTCCCATTTCACCTGTTGTTTGTCATGAGCAAATGGACAATACAGTTTTTAATATTAATTTTTGTTCTGTTATATTCCAGGCCTGATGACAGGGTGGATGGCAATGGAGGCATGGAGGTTGGGGGAGAGGAGGCTGAATAAGTGGAGACAAATCAGTTTAGATTCATTATGTTGATTAGTTTAATATTTATTTTGTACATCAGTATAGGCCTACTTTTATTTACATTTTTTTCTCATTTAGATTATTAAATTCAGATAATTTTATTGTTTTTATGAAAATGTTTACTTAAATTTTTTATATTTGTTTGTACTTTTGCCTGTTAAAAAAATATACTGTTTATTAAGTTTGTTAAAATGATTACTTTCACTAACTGACCTTGTCTTGGGTGAAAAGAGACATCTTGATATTTAACTAGCAGGGTGCCTGTTCTATGGGCGGGGATCGTATAAGTCAGTTGAAACCTTCTTATATTTTGATACTTAGTAAATTAATCATTTACAACTTTATATAGTATAGATCGCTATTCCTGTATTGATGTACTGAAATGAATAAAATTATATGAAATGAAATGTTGTTAGCGAATTTCCCATTTACTCATGGTAAGACGTGGACCCGGGACCGATTTAATTTTTCGTTTTGAGGTCCCTAGAGGCCAAAATCACCATCCGTTAAAATTCATGTATAGGTATATAATTATGAAAAAATAGTTCATATTTATTTGTTTTGTTCATTTTTACATTTTTCATTAATTTCAATTTGCTTGAAAACATTTGTACTAAACAAAAATTTGCAATGTTTCATGTTTCATTTATCACAAACTCTATCAAGATCTCCTCAAGAAAAATATATATTTATATTAGTAATTGAAATAAATAATTAAACATTTAGTACCCTTTAGTTATTAAGGAACGTGGCAGCGTTCCGGCCCGCCAAGTCCCCCAGCGGTACACAGCTGCTGCAGTGTATATCTACATGACGTGACAAAGTGGCTGTTTTACTCGTCTATAGCTCTGAAGAAACAAAAGCTATTAAAATAACTGTTCATCTACTGGATAGGGGCACTCATTCTCAACAAAATTAAAAAAAA